GACAATCTCTGAGCCAGGGACTAGGGCTCTAGGGCCAATAAGTGAAACCTACCCCCATGGCACTGCCCCCCAAAAGAAACATGGGAGCCAAGATGTGGGTATGGAAGGTGACTGGGGTTTTGCTCTTAAAACCGGAGGTAAAAGGAAAAGGAAATACGGCATTCTCAGAGAGATGGCCTCAGGTTCAGGTCAGATATTCTTGGCTGAGCCACCCTTCTTTCAGGGGACCATTCTAACACTGAGGCTCCAGAGTTCCAAGGCATCTTGCCCCAAGGAGTCAGGAAAGAGGAAGCAGTGGGGAAGAAAACAGGTCTGTTTCCACTCAGAGTATTGCTGTCTTGTTTGGGAGCACAGAGGATTTGCTTCTGTCATTAGAAAACAAAACTAATGCCTGCAAGGTCTAAAAACCTACCTGACTGTCACAAGGGTGACCTGCAAAGGGGAGTCAGCATGGAAAATGACTGCCGTCAGCACCGCCTCACCCCTGCCCACTGTCCCATACTTTAGCAGGTTTTGAACACACAATCACCCTGGCTGGCTCTCACTGGGACAGAAGAGGCAAGAGAAACATTTTAAAAATAGCTACAGCCTGGTGAGCACTTGCTGTGTGCTAGGCACAGTGCCAAGTGCTGCTTGGCATACCACCCACAAAATCTCATGAAGGAGGGAGGGCCTAGCATCTCCCCATATGATAGAACAGGAAACGGAGTCTCAGGGAGATCCAACCATTCACCTCAGGTCACAGCCCAAACGAGGCAAGGGCAGGATTCAATCACAGGTAGGTCGGAAGCCAGAACCCAAGCTCTCAACCACAGGTGGGATCTTGAGAGGTGAGCAGAGAAAAGCCCTCTGCCCCAGAGCTCAAGGTTAATGTCTAAACAGGAGAGCAGCCAACCGGGAGAACTCAGGAAGTGGTTTTGTTTTGTTTTGAATTTCATTGAATTACCTAGAACTCTGTGTTCTTCCCCTCCCACCCCACCCCACCCAACTCCACCTTCCTTCTCAATTGCATAATGAGTCTCAGATATTTCAAGGGGAGGCAAAAATAAGAGTTAATCCAAATAAATGCATCTTTGCTATTTAAAAGTGGTTTAAAAGTGCTTCTGTGGCTGGGGCAAAAACCTATGCCACGGAGGCTGAGGTTTAGGGGTGTGGCAGATGCTGAAGTCAGGGTCAGACAAGACACAGGGTCCTTCTCCCTCAGAGACTTGCCTCAAGTACAGACAGCAGGAGGGTGGATAAGCAGAGAGAGAAGGTCAGGGTTAGGGCAGAGAGCAGGGCTAAGAATTGACCCATGAAAATATCAGCACAAGCACTGGCAGCAGACAGCCCCCTAGGGTCTCTGCCCCTTCCCCAGACCCAAATACCACAGGAAGGCACTCATCTACCACAGGTGGCCCTTCCAACCTTCCTGTAGCCTTATACCATGTCACAGGGCATAACAAGGAGCTTCCTGCCCACTCAGCCCACAGCATGGCCTAGAATCCTTCATCTGAAACCTTCCAAGCAGAGAAAGTTCCCTAGCCACAGCCTTGAAATCTCTCCTCATGCACAACTCAGCCAAGAATAGAGGGAAAATGGAACCCATTATTTTCATTCTGAATGGCTGGGAAATGGCTTTTGCTTTTCAACATGAAATGTGCCTAAAAATAAGCTGTGAATTTCAACCAGAGGTTGAAAATAGCTCTGCAGTGAACAGAGCTCTGTTCAGAGTGGGCTCAAGGACAGCCTTCATTCCAGGATCTGAGAGCTGAAACACACCAGTCAGGGTCGTGGGCAGGGGGTTTTCCAGGGTGCAAAAAGTGTCAGAGACTCACAGGGCTTAGTCAGCTCTACGGTTGTACAAAGCAGAGGATGCAAGAGGGGTCTGCCTCTCTGGCAATGGTCAGGAATTCAACAACCCACAGCTGGTACCACAGACTTCCTAGAACCCCCAAATCCTCAGGAGCACTTCAGTGCCAGGGCCCACTGTCTATACAGAGCTGAAGCTGGCTAAGGGTCATCAGACTCCTGAGCTCCTAACTGGATGCAGAGCTCAGGGCTCTGAGAAGTCAAGTCATGCTCATCAGCCACCAAACCTCTCATCAGATACCATCTCTGAGCCAGGGAAGCCTTGAGGTAGGAAGGGAGAGAACATGCTCCAATTTTAAGGGTACAACATTCCTATAAAATGGGCTTCTGTTAGAAATACAGGCTAGGAAATCTTGGCCACAGCTGCTGGCAGGAGCCCAGATTCGGCCCAATTGAGCAGAGTCCTCAACAGGGCTGCAAGAATGCCCTTCCTCATTTCCCCCTGCGGAGTACTCCTCTCTCCTCTCCTTGCTCTTCTCATCCCCCCCACCCACTGGCACCCCAAGACAATCCTACCTTATTACCACTCTCACTGCTAGGTCAGCTTCCATTCTGGGCTCACTTCTGAGGCACGAAGTATTGCAGTGAGTGATACTCAGTTGGGGACATCTGACAATTTTTGGTCATCATGAATGTTGGAGTGGGATGCTACTGGTATCTAGAGGGTAAACGCCAAGGATGCTATTTAACATCCTAAGTGGCCAGCCTCCACAGCAAAGAATTATCTGGCCCCAAATATGAACAGTGCTGAAGTGGAACAACCCTGGGTTATTGGAAGAATGGAAAGGGGACAGAACTGGGGGGGCAGGGGACTACTGGACTCATAGTTTATGGGGTATGGTAGTGCTCCTGGGATTCCCTGAGGGGCTGAGATAGCCTGGCCAGCCAGGGAATCCCAGTGACAGGCAAGGCTTCAGCAAAAAGGGCAGGAACACACTCCTCAGCTTCCCTTCCTATCTTGGGAAAAACCTAACCACTGAACAACTTCTGGAGATGAATGTGATGGTTGCACAATGATGTGAATATACTTAATGAAATTGAGCTGTACACTTAAAGTTGTTAATATGGTCAATTTTATGTTATATATATATGTTCGTACGTACGCATGTGTATAAAATCACAACAAAACAAACACCCAAGTTCTGGTCTTCCTTGTTAGAGAAGCCTCATGTGGTATGTTTGATGAGGGCTTATGAACAGAGAAAAGCCCACACATTCGTTCAGAATCTCAAAGGTGGCTAATGATAAGCAAGCAAAGAGCCCTGATCTCAACCAAGAATGATTATAGGATTAAGGATCACTTCAGGGGGTAGCAAAAGCTCATCTTCATTATCCATGGGGTCCTCAGAGCCTGCTTGTGGGGGTGTTCAGGACTGAAGAAATGGAGACTTGGGAAGAGTAGGTACTTTGCTGGGGTCACAAAGCTGGAGTTCAAACCGAGTTCTCTGACTCCAGATCCCATATCCTGTCCCCTATTTACCTCCCCTGTGGAGGTATGCCCAGTGGGTAGAGTTGTAAAAACAGCTCACATGTGTACCTGGAGGTAGTCTGGGAACAATCAGTTGCCTTGAGCCCTGCTGAGCTATTCACCCACCCATGCCTCATCCTGTCATGCTGGCTTCTCCCAACCCACATGACTTTGTCCCAGATTTGAGGCTTTGGGAAGCAAATGTGTCCATACTCCATTTCTAAGCTAGGATTGAAGAACAAGATAGCTCATCCAACATATTTTCCTAATAACAATAAGAAAAATATGGGATCTCCCCTAGTTGGTAGATATTAACCACTCCCAAGAGGCAGATAGCAGTGCCCTCCTAGAATGAGGAAAACCTGTCAGGCAGTTCTCTACTACCTGCAGTTTCTAGCTTGGTTAAACTTGTTCAGAGGAGCTAGCATGACTTAGCCCAAGGTGTCTCACCTGTGAACTGGAGCAGTAACTTTACCCACTCATTCTGATGAGATAAGAAGTGAATAGGGCAGCACATGCAAGAGGCCTTGGCTGTACCTGGCTCATTAAGTGCCCAATGAACAAGGAATCACAGGAGAGGCACCAGAGGACCCCAACCCTGCAAATGCAAACAACTTTCCAAATGGAAAATAAACTGATAGCAAGCAGAAGATCATGCAACTCAGTCATCCCCAACAAACCCAAAAAGCTGAGGACTAAACACTTATTAGGAAGCACCAAGGAAGAACAAACCTCCCAGCTCCAGTGACCAGCCTGGAGGACAATCCTTGAAAGAAAACTGTAAAACTGACAAGGCCTACTCCTAGTGGCAGCCCTAGCACACAGACTAGGGAGTGGGGGTGTCAAGGGTTGGGGAGGGGATCCAACTGCTGGAATTGCAAAGCCCTAGGATAGACTCAGGAGGCTTCCTGGTTCTATTCTGGACCCTAGGCCCTGACTTTCCAGGGACTTTGGGTGAGCCACTTCCTGCCGTTTGGGCCAGTTTCTGCCTGTGGCAGGAGGCCACTCTGTCTCTAAGGTCCAGTGGGGTCCAGCCTGTGGCCATAGGAGCTTAAAACCCTTGGGATTCTGCAACCACAGCTTTAACATTTCAGTCAAAGATGAATATGACCTTATTTAATGAGACTATATCAGCTTTCATTTCCCCCCAGATATGTGTCAAAAAATACTAGCTATTTTAATCTAGGTACACTGAATGTCCTTTCATCAACAAAGACACTAAAAATGGTTCATGGAACTTCCTCTCCATGGTTTTTAAAAAGAAGGAAGTGAGACCAAAAGAACTGGGGGCCTTTCCCATTTTGTCCCAGCTGTGGTGGTTTTGGGCCCTGAACCCTCTAGGAACCTCACACCTGGGTCCTGTGGCCCAGGCTTGGCATGGGACAGAGCCTTTGTTTCCTTGGGCCTCAATCCAGCAGATGCATGTGCCATGGAAACACTCCCCCACCAAATGGGCCAGGAGCCAGGGCACCTGAGCTGTTCTCCCCTTTTATATTTCACAAGTTCACTCTAGACTGGAATCAAAGCATCACAAGTGCCAGAGAATTATTTTGTAGATGACCGGATCTTACTAGGGCCCCTTTCCCATGGTCAACCTAAGCACCCAGTCCCCACCATCTCTGAGCCAATGCTGACCCTACCCAGAGTCACAAGGCTCAGATTTGCCTGCCAACCTACTTACCAGATTCCCAGTGGAGGTAGCCAAGGTGGCTGGGGGCCGCTGTACTTTTATGACTTCTCCATAATCAACATTATCAAAGTTACTCTTCCAAACCATCACCTGCCAAGACCAATAGGCACAGAGAATGAGAAGAAAAAAAAAATCACCTTTCCTGCCTCCTTCATTGAAAAAATGGGCACAGAGGCCATCTCTAAAGTTCTGACCCATGGTTGTTCCCACCAGACACCCCAATTTAATTCTGGGACTTGCCCCATCTTCCTGAGGAGTAGGCTTTTGGAACAGGCCTCAAGAGAACCTGGATGTGCCACTAATATGGATGTGCCACTGTGCAGGACTACCAGGCCGTGGCACTGGCTGGGTCTTTCCGCCCAAGGAGGTCACAGAGATCTCAGCATCAGAGTCAGTAGACATTTAATCCATTTGTCCCTTTTCCTTGTTCATCATACATTTTCCCACTAAAATGAAAGCTCCTGCTGGTGGCAGCTTGGCCTGTTACACTGTGGGAAGTGATGAACATGTGGATTCCAGGCCCAACCACTGGGGTGAAGGTCCTGGGTCCACCCCTTATTGTGAGGCCCTAGGTAAGGGAATCAGTCAGTGCCTCATGGTACCCAGAGAGTGACACTCATTATTCTAAGACTAAGTTTGGCCACAAAATAAGTGCCCTACTCTGAGTATCTATCTTCCTATAAACAGGATCACATTGAGCCTCCTTCATAAAAGCCGAGGGAGCTGCTCTGCTGGGGAGCAAGAGCGCTCCCTGCTGGAGGCTTTTGGCCTTATGTAGTTAGATGTTTCTGGGGTCACTTCCAGGAAGGCTGGAAGTGGAGGAATTGTGGAGCATGTCAGCAATCAACAGAGGCCACAGAAAAACTACCATATGTGCACAAGATGAGTGCTCGACACACCCTGGATACCATCCCTGTTGAGACAGCTATGAGCCTGTTTCTCCTGGAGGCTCCTTACTACTCCCTAAGGAGCTCCACTTGTCACTGCTCCCAGGGAGATAGGCACCTGTGGTCTTTCATTCACATTTTACAGACAGAATACTGACATAGATATGCTCTTGTGTATGGGGTTCTTGTATAATTGTGCATAACTAACTGCTGAATAAATTACTGGGAGCACAGTGGCTAGTACGTGTGCAAAGAAATAATGCCAGATTCAACTCCAAAAAACCTCATAAAGCAGATTTTAAAAGGCAGCCAAGGAGCTGATGGCTGTGACTGCCTGAGGATGGGATAGAACAGGTGGAAGGCTTACTTTCCACCAGGCACCCTCTTATGCTATGTGAATTCATTTTACCATGAGAGTCTACTGTACCAGTTCCTGTGTTTTCTAAGCAATGAGCCAGGCATCCATGCTCAGGGAAGCCTCAGGCTCCTCTTTGCTTTCTTCCTCTCGTGGCTGCTAATGTAGGGCTAGGGCAGGGTGAACACCTGTTATCTATTATCTAAGCTGTGACCAAAGAGACCCCAGTTACCCTCTACCTTACTGGCAAACACCCAACCAAAATCAGTACATTTGGCTGGGGCTGGGGCTCATGCAGGACTGACAGGACATGTCCTGGCTAAGCAGCCAAAGCTGTGAGGCCCAGGACCCGTGGCATGAATGTTCTTGGCAATCTACCAGGTCAATGATGGCTCACAGTAGCCACCCTTTCCTCACTACCTCAAGAGAATGCAGTTTTCTGGACAAGAGGCACTGCGCAGGCACTCTGGTGAGAGTCTGCGAGGGGTGGACTCCTCAGTGCTCCTGGCCTCCCAGTGCCAGGCTCATTGGTGTATAGCAGTCTGGATAGGAAGCACCAAGGCTGACAGGAGAAAGCCTCTGTGCAAAGGATGATGAGGCGAGATAGGACTTCCTCACAATGTGCTTTCTCTGTAGCCACGGATATTGAAATACTGACCCCCTTAAATACAGCACAAGTGGGCTGGAGAGCAAAGGGCAGCAGATGCTGGAGGAGAGGTTCCCAGGGCAGGGCACAGTTCTGAAATCAGGCAGAACCAGTGCCTGTCCCACCTCTTTCATCTGCTGGGACAGTTTCTTCATCTAAAGAATAGGGAGATGAGGGACTGGGGTTGTGGCTCAGTGGTAGAGCACTTGCCTAGCATGCAAGAGGCACTGGGTTCAATTCTCAGCACCACATTAAAAAATAAATAAAAGTATTGTGTCCATCTACAACTAAAAATATTTAAAAAAAAAAATAGGGAGATGAGAGGATGTGCCCCATAAGGCTATTGTGAGAATTAAATGAGGTCTGAAGCTCCTGACACACTGTGTTGCCAAGTCCACAGTGAGGACACAATGATTCTTATCTATTTATCATCAGAAAAAGAACTAAAAAACTTCAACTTTTTTACGGCAACAATAGCTCAGACTCCTACTAACCCATGCTAACTTGAGCAGCAAGGGCTTTGAATCTCAGTGTCCCACCCCAAGGGTCTTAGAGGAAGGTTGCTGAAAGCCACCCTGGCCCATCCTCCACGTGGCCTCCAGGCACCGGTTGGGGGCTCAGACTCTTCAGGTCATTCTTAACTTACCTGTTCATCAGAGCCTCCAGAAGCAAAATACTCCCCTGTTCTTGAAAAGGCAACAGTGGTGGCAGGTCCCTATCAAAACAAATGATAAAGAATAAAGGTCACAGTAGAGTCTAAACATACAGGAAGAAAACTAGCAGTTCTTGAATGAAAGCATCAGCAGGACAAAGGACCAAGAGTCCATTCAGCCCCCAGTTCTCCTCATCCTTTGACTGGGGAGACTGTGTGTGGTCAATGCAAGGGACACTAATGAGACCTCTGTTTCTGAGCACTTCAACAGGACAAAGGCCCAGGCCGTGAGATCACAGGTGGGCAGAGATGAGTAAACAGGGCAGTTTACACTTGCAGTCCTGCCGAGCTAGCATTCTGGTCCTTGCTTCCCCAACAAGAAGCTGGAGGTCTGAGAAATGCACTGACTTACCCTAGGCTGCAGAACTGGGCCAGAACTCACCCCTCTGACCCAGGCCAGTCTCCTCCCCAACACTAGCCTGCTACTGACCAGAGAGGTGGAGGCCCCAAAGAGGAGCCAATTATTCAAGTAAATAGTGCACAGTTGGGGACCCAGTTGGCAGGAAGGAGCCTGGGGTGGGGAATTACTGAAGGTGCCTAGGCAGTGGACTAATGTGACATGCCCATGTAACATGTATGCCATTTTCTCTGAGTTGGGCCTTGGGTGAAAAGGTGCCTGCTCTGGCTTCCCACATGCTGAAGATCAGCATGACCATCTGAAGAGGAATGCCAGCATGTGCCAGGTAGCACTCTGAGGGTCATCAGACAGGTCCAGGCTTACAGGAAGGGCATGATCTCCTAGTAGAGCAAGAAGGTTCTTTCCCATATGCCTGAAATTCATTCCAGAAAGATGAGCCAACAAGAATCTGTTTGGCCACATAACCACAACTGCAACCATCTCTTCTTCCCAACTGAACTTTTATTATGACTAGTACCTGGCATTTCCCAAGTAAAACCAGATAAAAGAGGTTTTCTCTTAGATGAGGGCAGCACAGCCACTGACACAAACCTCAGTTCCTCTAGACCATCGCTGGGAGTGACAAGAGCCCCAGCTGCCACTAAGGGGCACTCCAGCAGTGAAGCCTCAGCTGTAGACAAGAGGAACACTTGAAAGAACCTTTCACTCAATGCCAGAAAGGACCAGACGTGGCTTGGGCTGGAAAGGCACCCCTAGGCCATGGAGGAAGTCAGTTTCTGCTTCTCTAGGAGAGTGCCAACCTAGCTCAGGCACATGGGAAGCATGCCTACACATGCTTCTGGAATCCACCTACAGCTCTTCCTCTCAGAGGTGCTCATAATGGGTGACAAAGAAAAGTGCAACACCAGCTAACACTGGCTCAGAGCACTTCACTGGTATCAGCCCACTTAATCCTCAGAGGACACTTTGTGCATTTATCCTTCCAAGCAGGGCAATGGGGGCAGGCGATCAGTGGATAAGGCCTGAGGACACAAAGGCAAAGCTTACACCTGTCAGCTACCTGCCTTCTCCACACAGCCCAGAGCACATTCCCAGAAGACCCAGGAATCCTCAGTTGCCATTAGCCAGGTTAAAGTGGATCCACTTTCACTGATGGTGAACAATGTCCACTAATATCAATGAGCATGAAATACCAGGTGCAAGACATCATGGGCCATGTGACTCCATTTGTGTAATGCTGGCTGCAGTGCTGAGCCTGAGTATGTGGGGGTGGGCCATGCATCACTTGGGTACACTTTCAAGCGGACAATCAGCAAGGAGCTAACAGGACAATCAGCAAGGAGCTTGTGAGAGGTGGTGCAAATTCAGGTTACTTCTTGGAAACGTTTGCCATTTTCATACTTTAAATTTTTTAATGAGTGTATGGCATTGCTACAAAATAAAAACAACAAAAATGATTTTCATTTTGAGTAAAAACAAGGAGGAAACAAAGAAAAAGGAATAAAACAGTACATGGAATTTCAAAAAAAGATGGGCAGTTGGCTGCCCAGAGTTTAATGAGTAATGGCAGGTTTGCAAGAAGGAAGAGCAACTAAGGAACTGAAGACTTGTGGGTCACTTTCCTCTCCTGTTATCATTCAACCACCAGATGCCAAGCTGAGAACAAGATGTCAGAAACAGAACACAGCAACAGCAGTAGACCCAATAGAAATTGTGCCCAGCAGTAGGGCAGCCCAGCGGTCCACAGCTCAGTAGGGAGACTGGAACCAGAGGGCAGGCACTGGGAGTGCTCCCGGGTAAAACGTGCGGGTGCTTTCCCATGAGACGAAGTCTCAAAATCTCAGGGACAGAGTCAGTGATGGGTGTGCCCTCTGGAGCCCACAGTCCTCCCCAGCAGTGTCCATTTATTTACCAAGAGGACCACAAGGTTCCTGCACTAGGTGCCTCCACATCCTGTAAAGACCAGATTCCCACGGAGGCTCCTGCTTATCTGTCCAAAGCCCACGCAAGTAGCCCCAGGCACTCAAAGGTCCAAATGGATGACAGTAGTCCCATCAGATTATATCACCTAGTGATGCTGTAGTTCTGTTAGTTTGTATTAAGCACATGGTATGATGCCCAATGACAAAATCACCTAACGATGCATTTCTTGAACTTTGCCCCTGTTGTTAAGCACCACATGACTATATAGACAGGACTCTCCAACACTAATGCCCTTTGGGGCTTGGTCTTCAAGGGGCAGGAGAGCCTAGCCCCTGCCAATCTTGCCAGGCCTTTCCTTTCCCTAACCAATGTTCCAGCTCACCTGACTGACCACTTGCTATTCCTCAAGTGCTGAGCTAGAAAAGATCTTCCCTTTCTGAATGCTCTTCTTTTCATAGCCTCCTGCACTGAGTTCTTTATTCAGTGAATTTCACTTTTTTTTTTTTTTTTTTGATGCTGGGGATTAAACCCAGGGCCTTGTGCATACGAGGCATACAGTCTACCAACTGAGCTATATCCCCAGCCCTTCATTCATTGAATTTTCGTCTTTCTTCATCTTAAATAAATTCACTCAGGCTACAAATTTGCCTCTGACGGCCATCTTAGATAAATCTCAGAAGTTTCTAGTATGTGATGTTTTCACTGTCATTCCCTTGCAAATGTTTAGTTTCCATCGTGAGTTCCTTTTTACGCCACCAGTTATTTGCAAGTGCAGTTTCTAAACTAAGGGGGATTGGGATGTGGCTGCTTATCAGTGCCAGAGATCAGATAAGATATGGTAACAGTCTTTAAGACTGTTCTGTCTTCATGGTATCCTATTTTTTTATTTTTTAGTTATATTGTTTTGGGGTACCAGGGATTGAAATCAGGGGCACTCAACCACTGAGCCACATACTCAGCCCTATTTTGTATTTTATTTAGAGACTGTGCCCAGCAGCAGGACAGCCCAGCGGTCCACAGCTCAGTAGGGGGATTGGAACTCATTGAGTTGCTTAGGACCACGATAAATAGCTAAGGCTGGCTTTAAACTCACAATCCTCCTGTCTTAGTCTCCCAAACTGCTAGGATTACAGGTGTGTACCACGTACCAGACGATACTGGGGATTGAGCCTAGCAGTGCTTTATGGCTGAGTTATATTCCCAGCTCTTTACTTTTTGAGACAGGATCTCATTAAGTTGCCTGGGCTGGTCTTGAACTTGTGATCCTCCTGCCTCAGCCTTCTAATTCACTGACATTACAGGCATGTGCCACCATGCCTGGTTCCTTTCATTTAATTAGTTACCAGGCAGGGTTGTTGCCAAGTTCTTTCTTCCCACAGGCCAGGTGCCTTTCAGAGGCATGAGACTCCATACAAGTCTAAACAGCTCTGTTTCTACAGGGACTTCTTGGTATAACCTGAGCAGTGGCTCTCGGCTGAACCTTCAGTGTGGCTCCTGCATGCCCTGAGCACCCAGGGGCCCACTTGATGAAGCCTCATCCCTGTCAGACTTCCTCACCAGGTTCTTGGGTAGGAATGCTTTACAGGGTCAATCAAGGCCAGCCCCTTCCCTTGATGGACCACTCAAGTCCTTTATGAGATGATCCTATTTACTCTTATCATGAGCACTGAACATACCTGGTGTCCACCCTACTCTCTTCCCAACCCTACTACCCTTAGGCTTGGCTGGACCCACACCAATCATTTTACTATACACTTCTTTTCCCTTGCCAATTTTCAGACTCTAGGGAACTATGCTGTCCAGTTCTTTTTCATGCAAAAAGAAGAAAAAAGGAGCCCATGATAACTAGAAGATTAGACTGCAGAGTATGACTATCACTCAGCTCCCCCCAAGAGCCTCTGCAAGATTCTCTACTTTCTGCACCCTCCCACCTGACTCGATGAGGCCTATACATTCCTGAACTCGGACCACTTTGCCCACAACGGCCATGCTGGCAAAAGTCTAGCCAGGTACCCTCACCTACCAACCTCATAAGAGCTGTAAAATATTTTTCACTGGCTTTCATATGCACATGTCCTTTGAGTCACAGGTAAAAGAAGAGTGGCCATCAAACAGATACAGAGACCAAGGTGGACTAAGAATCCTCTGGCATGGGGTGCTCTGGCCTCTGACCCCCATGTTCAGGCAAAGAAAGTGCAACCCAACCTACCAAGTTACTCTTCCACAAACACCCACCAGGGGCTCCTGCAATCAGCTGTGGGGTCCACAGTGCTATTGTGACTGAGGCTCTTATGTCGGTGTGATGGCCAATAGGGTCATCACAACCTAACAAACAAGGACTGCCCTCTGTGCAAGAGGTGCTGCCCAGGCTCTTTCCCAAACCTGTCCCAAAACACCTGCTCCCAGCTCTCAACTCTGAGTTGCTGGCAGGGCACAAAAGGCCAGGCTGACTCCAGGTTATTAGAGTAGAATAAATGAGCTGATCTCTCTTTTTGTGTCCCTTCATCTCTCAAGTGGGGCCAACCATCCAAGCTAGGTATGACCCTCCTGAAAACTGAAATAATCCTCCAAAAATGAGATGACTGGAGTGCTGGTGATATAGTTCAGTTGGTAGAGTGCTTGCCTCACATGCACAAGGCCCTGGGTTCAATCCTCAGCCCCCGCCCTGCCAAAAAAAAAAAAAAAAGAACCCCAAATAAGATGATTTGAACAAGAGCTATAG